GCCGGTGGCCTGGCCCCGCGCCCCAGAGTTTACCCACCCCCAGCAGCCAGATCCCAGGGCCCCTACCGCGCAGTGGACTGGCGCAGCGAGCAGGCAGCCCCCTTATATCCCTCCCGCAGCCCCCGCAGCGGGCAGTGACGCAGACCAGGGGCCGGGGGCGTGGGGTCAGCCTCCCCCCAGGCTCATTAGGAGCCGCCGGCTGTAATGAGGAGCCGGGGGTGGGGGGCCCGCCGCTGCCTTGCCGGCGATCAACTAATTGGGACCAGGAGCTGGGTCCTGAGCGCAGCGAGCAGGCAGCCCCCTTATATCCCTCCCGCAGCCCCCGCAGCGGGCAGTGACGCAGACCAGGGGCCGGGGGCGTGGGGTCAGCCTCCCCCCAGGCTCATTAGGAGCCGCCGGCTGTAATGAGGAGCCGGGGGTGGGGGGCCCGCCGCTGCCTTGCCGGCGATCAACTAATTGGGACCAGGAGCTGGGTCCTGAGCAGACGCGGGAGGGGGAGAGACGGACAGACAGAGAGGTGGACGCAGGGGGTGTGTCAGAGGGATAAAAATAGAGACGGGCAGAGGGACCATCAGAGCAGAAGCCAGAGACACAGAGGGAGAGAGAGACACTGGAAAAGCCACACGGAGGAACTGATGGGGAGAAGCAGAAACACAAAGAGGTGAAGTAACCATGAGAAGGACAGAGGCTGTGACAGAAGAAAAAAAAAGAGGAAGAGAGAAAAGGAAATTGACAAAGAGGGCCAGCTAGGGAGGAGGGAAAGGCTCTGGGAAAGACAGAAGGAAATGGAAGGACAGCCAGCTGAACAGAAATGCCCAGAGATAAGCCCGGCAGGCAGAGAATCAGAGAGTGTGAGATAGGGAAGGGGAGAGGCGAGAGAGACAAAGCGTTGTGTGGTGGGGTGTGAAGGCGGGGAAAACGACAGGAAAGTCTTACAGAGCTCGGGGAGCGGGAACAGGGCCGGGAGCTGCCCTGTGGATGTGCCTAACCCTTCCCGGGGCGCAGTGTGGGGTGTTGTGAAGATAAACCCCAATCCACACCCATTCTATTAAGAAGGTGCACTCCACAC